ATAGGTTTCTAACCTACCCTTGTATCATTCCTATTGAAGCATAAACTCGAGGGTGGATGAAGGGTGAACAATTTTAAAGTAGACTCCCCATTTATTAGATAGAGAAGATTACCAAGATTTCGTGATTCACTGAGTGATTTGTCAAATAACAAAAATGTTGTATTTTCCGATACATCATTATAGATTCGATAATCTTTTTGGTTGGTATCTTTAATTCTCTCATCTCTTGAATCTATGCGTCCTAGATCCAAAACTAAAATGACGCCCAATGGACTTTGACAATATTGTTAATCAATTCCATAATACGTACCGTTTTATCAACTCTAGCTCCTCCAAATAGTCCGAATTCTCCCCACGGCTATAAGAGGCTAAAAGATTGTATTGTTTGTCAAGGTAAATTCCACGTTAATTAAATATAAAAACTTTAATCAACATATAAGAAATTTTACTTTTGACCTTTTACTACCTCCATGATGGTTCTGCCACCACTCCACGGTTCATCCACCTCATCTACAGCTTTGATGGAAAAATCTTCCCCCGCTCCCACGACAACCAGTTGCCTTGCATTGGAGGGACACCCACATTCTCGCCGTCCACTGCCACCACCAGCTTCCTCTAGTCTCAGTACGACACTGTCATGAAAATTTACTCCATTTTTTGACAGAACTTAAATAGGGAGAATTCTATTCAATGAATCATTCTTTATACATTTCCAACACTAGCGAGACTAGTGCACAACCTATTCACCTACAGACACAAGAATGGGAATCTTCTAAGCAGACTCGAATAGTGAAAAGATATTTTATGCAGGTGGAACTACTTCAGAATTACTTGTCAAGATTCAAATAACATTGGAAGAAAGAAGCCCCCAACATCAAGCAGCACGTGCCTTATTCATCACACAATCGAAGTATATCGCGGAAGACCCTTTGCACTTCGGGAGGAAGCAAGCATGAACAATTAATCAGATGGTGGGACCGAAGGAGAAGAATCCACTACAGAAGTAGAAAAATGATTGCTTGAAGTTTTTTGCATGGTATGGCATTCTGGAGACTTCGTCGACACGGCAAAAGGTGGACTAAACTCAAATAATGCCTTGTTACCCTCAGAATAGCTTCCGACACATACTGTATCACCTCTACCGTGCCATATGCCGTCTTGGACATTGTTCATCTCCAGAGTTCTAGACTCCTGGTTCAATACAAAAAAACATAATTGGACAATCATTAAGAACAAGACAGAAAGTTATCAAGAACCGGGTTAAGCTGAGAGGTGGGATTGTGCTATTCTGCTGCCAATATAATTCAAATTGCACTAAAAATGTGAAAATATAAATTCAAAGACTGACCTGAGATAAAGTGCAGCATGGGCAAATCAGATGGTAAACACAGTCATCCAAAGAACTATCACTACCCTGCATATGCACGAGTTACATATTTGTCAGAAAGTGAAGCAGCAAATTTAGCCCCTTTGGTTTGGCTAAAAATCAGTTTTTTAGTAGATTTCGATTAAAGTTTATGAAATGTATGGTTGAAAGATGATAAAAAAGTTGTGAGTCCCATAAAATGTGTCGTTGAAAATGAGTATGGGGAAAATGAGTTTTACAAATTGGGGCCAAATAGGACTTACTAGCAGACAAAAGTTTCAAACTAGTACCAATTCAACCAAGATTACATTTCACCATATGATATGAGCACAAAAGTAGCGTGAAACAAAAAAGCATTCTTTGATTAACACTAATGACTACCCCAACCAAACCAAAGGGAATTAACCTATTTTAAGGCTTATAGCTAGAAAATTGGGCAGCAAGATAAGCTGCCCTGCATACTGAATGGTTATTTGTGCTGAAATCTTACATAGCCATTCTCTGCCTTCTGCTCTTAGCCGTCAATACTAACAAGTTGAAACTGCTATTTAACCCTCTGTATAAACAAGTTGAAGTGAGATTGATAATCAAATAAAGTTCATCAGACATACCATCATAACCATCCCCTTTTCACCTTCATAGGCATTTTCCTTCACTCCTCCCTTCCCTAACACACTCATCAGGTCCCTCTGGTTATTTCTAACTCCTCTACCATCCGTAGATCTCCAAAATTGACAACACATTTAAGTCCCATCTGTCATCACCAATAGATCAAGTGATGCACCAAATGACACGAATTGCTTGGCAGACAATGATTATCCTCTGAAAACTTTCACATAAATTCTACTCAATCACTTCTTAACACATTATTTCTTTTTCTCTCAGTTGGTAGTAAGCCTATGTATTCATTTGTTGTTGACCATTTAAGCTCACCTCTTTGTGCATTCAAAACATGTACGTAGTTGTGTAAAGGAAATACCATCTGAAACAGAAAATGCATAACAGCTATTGCATTAAATAACTAAAGGCAGTTCTACACTGGATAACTTACTTTTATGTTGAACTTTTTCTTGATCTGTGAGCGGTAAAGTCCCATGTACATTCCGACCGATACAGTGAATGCAATGGCCAAATATACAAAGCAGCGTTTCCTGGTGATAATGAAAGCTAGCAGGTTGGAGAGGGCAATGACAAGAAGAATCGAGTAAAAAGATCCCTGCATAATCAGTATGTTGAACGTAGAATTGGAAAACATCAGCATTCAAGGAAATTGATAGCAGAGCTGCTAACACAGGCACACAAAAGAAGGATAAGGAATTTCCTCCTCAACAATTTTCATTTCTATAACCAGATCAGATAAAATGCAACTTCCCTCTCTTAGCCACCCACAAACTATATAGTAAAAAGAAACGCATAAGGATATTGTCCCAAATGTAGATAAGTCCAGTCACACAAAGGATTTAGGGAGCAAGAATAGATTACATACTTTATCTGTCCAAGGCATTTAAGTAAAAATATTAGAAACTTAATACACAAAATTATACAATCAATGCATGCACTCAGACACATACTGATCTAGAAAAAAAATTTCACATCGGCATGTATGGGTTAGAGGATCAATTTTAATGAAAAGCACCAAGAAGAAAAATATTTATAGAACAAATGCCCTACTTAAGTGAACATATGTGCTCGATTCTTTCAAAAAGAACGAGTATCTACCTGAAGAAAGCAAGAACCATATCCTGCTCGTTTCATGTTCCTTCCAAATCTATAACATGGACAGCTGCAATATATAACAAGCTAATTACACGTTACCACAAGCTTAATCCAAATGCTTGAGAAAAGATAACATCTTTACTCCAGAAAGTAAACTTGCAACAAACTGAAAAAAATCCCAACTTCATAAAGAATGCAGATATGCCGTAATACCTTACGAACTTCGAATTTAGTCAAAGCGCATGATAAAATAACTAAGAGATAGCAAAGCGTTATTATTATCTGAATATCTGAATCCACATGAACAAATTAAAAATCTTTCCTATACCTAACTCTTGGAAATTACTGGTTGAAACCCATTTACTCTCAATTAAAAAGGAAAGAAATCTTAATGAAGACAGTAATGCCCGAAGTTAAAAGTAATAATAGCCAATTAGCATACCACAATCTATTAATTGTTAACTCTTTAAGAAATAAATGGATCAAAAAGATAAAAAATTAAAAACCCAGAATACCAAAACCTAAAAAAATAAACATTGCAACACCAANAAACCTAAAAAAATAAACATTTCAACACCAATCCCCCCACAATAAATAAATGAATACATAAGAGTAAAAACACGTAGGCTACCCGAAATGAATTTCATTGTAAATTAAAAATAATAATAAGAAGGTAACAAAAAATACCAGGTGGATTGCAGAGCGATTTTGCGGTCATCGAAGCAATCATAGATAAGTTCACCTTCCCACATCCTAAACACTCCCCCTCCGTTTTCATTGTTCCTATGCAAAATTGGTTCTTCCCCTTCTTCGTTGCTTCCATTCAATTTTCCCCACGTGCCCTTTTGGGCCTGCATGGCTACCGTGGAGCACAACATATCAAAATCCAATACAGACATTCCCTCCATCAACAACCTTTCCTCCTCCTCCTCGGCGGCTGCGGCCTCTCTCTTCTCCAAACTCGTCATCATTTCAATCAAAAGGGTCTTTCCTTCTTGTTCTTGTAGCGCCCCTGTTGTATATATTTCCTTTCCTTTAATGTGTACGCTGCAGGTAATCAATTTGTGTCATCTGTCCAGGGATTTTATGTGAGAGAGAGAGAGAGAGGAGAAAAGGGTATAAGATAACGGTGGCGATTTGTTAGGGGGAAAATGGAAAAGAAAGGGGGAATTGGGTTTTGGTTGGCGCTAGTAATTATAAAAAACTCCGGGCCCACTATAATGACGGTCTTACTGTTGCCACGTGTGCATATGAATCAATATAGGCTCTTGGATGCTTTTTTTTTTTTTTTAAATAAATTAAAACGGGGTTTCAAAACAAATACTATTTAAATTTTAATCCTGTTGATTCCCCACTTATCTCTTAATGAGAAATGATAAGATGCGGCAAAGAAAGGAATAATTAGCCGTCATATGATTATGATTGAAAGCATTATTAGTTAGGGACAGTATTTTATCAACAATCATGCTACTAGTACACTAACTTTGACATCAAATTTGATATTGTTCCACGTGGTGACATCACATTGAACAGTTTTTAAAAAAACACACTTTCTCGTCAAACACAATTTGAATTTACACATGTCGTCAAACTTGATGTCAAGAAAATAATGTTCAAGTAGCTTTATTCTTTTATGAATAATGCTATTCACATAAAAGTTTGACACTCCCTTTGCACGAGGTGGGGCCCATCATTGAGGGTAACACGCAGGGCCCACTCCCCACGTGAGAGGAGTGTCAAAATGAATGCACACTGAATGTACATTCATCATTATCCTAAAAGATTATCGATAATCATTCTACACGGTATATAATTGAGAGTTTGTTATTTGCTGAATTAATATTGTAATTTTTTATTATTTCGTACATCAAATAACAAACTGTCTATATATATATACACACACATCAGATGACTATCGATATTTTTCATTATAGATAACGTTGCTCGTATTTCATGGGTATAATTGATGCTAGAGGAATATTGGTCAACATTGGAGACCCAACAACTTGGTTTTATATATTTGTATATGTGGGGGATTGGTTGGGGTGGGGCCTTCTGTTAGCTTTTTTTTTGCAGTTAGGATGTCTTTAAATGAGTCCAATCAATTTTCAACCAATTCACGCGCTAAAATGTGTCATCCCACAAGTCAAATGTTTGTTCGATTTGAAATATTCGTTTAGTAAAATAATTTAGTACGTTAATTTACGATTTTTAAAAATTTTTAATTATACAAAAAAAAATTATTTTTCACTTAAACTAATCTCTTCCAAACAAAGGCATAACATTCCCATGCTAACTTCGTTAGGTTGTTCAAAGTCTCAACTTTTAGAGTCTGTTTTGACATGTTTATAACGATTGTTAAAAGTCAAATAACTTTTTGGAAAAATCTAAGCGTACATAATTTGATCACATAATGATGTCTATAATGAGACGTGGACAGGATCGACCGTTGATGTGAAAGTGTAAGATTTGAGTAAAATGTTGGATCAAGTGTCACGTGTAATTATGGATACCATTATGTACAAAATTATGTACATGTAGCACTTCCCAATTAATATTATCAACCAGGGTAGTGGCTGACCAGGCATCGTACATTTTTGCACAGACCAATCGGGCCCGTTCAGGCCAGGCCCGGCCCGGCCGTAAGGGGATCTCCAACCCATATCCCATTGCGATAAATAAATTGTTAAGAAAGAAGAAAATGATGAAGCACTTTTCATTTGTTGCAATTATCGGTGTATTGGGTTGGAGATGATTTTCTGTTTGATGTAAAATTTGGTGCAAAATCGAGTAAAAGCTACCTCAAATTTTGGTGTAGGGTTGGAGATGGCATGATATGGAATCCATTATTCTCATTGTACTGCCCTGTGGTTTTGTTCATCAAATGCATCAAGCTCTCTTGACCTGAGCTTTATGTCCATTGCCTGAAAAATTTATACGGTCAAGAGAGAGCACTTTGCCAATATACTACNTTTTGAACTATTCTTGTTCAGTCATTCAGTATTATCACAACTATTCTCTTATCCATTTAATAATATACAACCTTAATTTTACCGTGAAAAAGATGAAAGAAAATGAGAAGAGGAGACTCAGGCGAGAGAAAACACTGATTTGAAATGAATGTTGATTCCTTTTCCTTTAATATTTAAAAAAAAAATTCAAAAAAAAATTTTTTTTTTGGGGGAGGGGGGGTTGGTGGGAGCACCTGCCCCCCAGGCCACCCCCCAGGTCCGCCCCTGTTCCCATGCTAACTTCGTTAGGTTGTTCAAAGTCTCAACTTTTAGAGTCTGTTTTGGCATGTTTATAACGATTGTTAAAAGTCAAATAACTTTTTGAGAAAGTCTAAGTGTACATAATTTGACCACATAATGATGTCCATAATGTGATGTGAACATGATCGACCGTTGATGTGAAAGTATAAGATTTGAGTAAAAGGTTGGATCAAGTGTCACATGTATTTATGGATACCATTATGTACAAAATTATGTACGTGTAGCACTTCCCAATTAATATTATCAACCAGGGTAGTGGCTGACCAGGCATCGTACATTTTTGCACAGACCAATCTGGCCCGTCCAGGCCAGGGCCGGCCCGGTGGTAAGGGGATCTCCAACCCACATCCCAATGCGATAAATAAATTGTTAAGAAAGAAGAAAATGATGAAGCACTTTTCATTTGTTGCAATTTTTGGTGCATTGGGTTGGGGATGATTTTCTGTTTGATGTAAAATTTGGTTCAAAATAGAGTAAAAGTTACCTCAAATTTTGGTGTAGGGTTGGAGATGGCATGACATGGAATCCATTATTCTCTTTGTACACTGCCCTGGGTTTTGTTCATCAAATGCATCAAGCTCTCTTGACCTGAGCTTTATGTCCATTGCCTGAAAAATTTATACGGTCAAGAGAGCACTTTGCCAATATACTACCAGTCTGGAGTCTTGATGCTAAACAATCTACTGCTCTCTGCTTTCAATTCTCAAATAACCCAACGTAAGAGATGCTCATCAATACATGAACAACTTCTTTTACTTTAAAAAGGTCACAACAAAAAAGTTGAAGATTATTGGGCACCACACCGCCAAATCGTCTGAGGCATTTTCTTGAAGAACATATATTTTGATTTCAGATTGGGAATAATGAAGAGATTAAGGAACCGTAACACTCAATTTCGTAGAAACGAATAATGCTATTCAATCCCACTCGATGTTCATCGAGAATATCTAAAGTATGATTCATTTATCTTCATTGAAGACACTCAATGACTGATGTTAAACACGGGTTGAATATCATTACTCCATTAGTAACATAACATAACTCGTAAAGAGCAGTCTCGTTTTGGAGTTATATTCTGGGCCTAGGACCTGTCCAAGTTTGCCTTTTCTATCACGAACTGGATTATACAGTTTGGAACAAGGGTTTCGGTTCAAAGATTGGGCTACTAGGTTGGCCCAAATGACTGTTCATCAGTCGCCCAAGGAGTTCATAAACCAAAATAACATTCACTCAATTGGCTGTGACAGGAATGTTACCTGAGGAGGAAACGAATCCACAAATGCAAAGATATAATCATTTCCTATACAACCATTTATTGCTTAAATTATCAATCTCGATCAAGTCTGAATAATTCTATTATACAAGCTGTATTATAGGTAAGGTCACAAAATACGCAAACATGTGTCAATGGTCGAAATCTCAATGGCGTAGGCTCTTGAGTAGTTTCAAAATGTTTAGTGGATCAAGTCTTTTGTACTTGTTTGATAAAATTTATCAATTTTTTAATCAATCAAACTTCAATTTTAATCATACATTTTATGAATTTTCGAGGAGTGTGTTTTTCTCACGAGTGATATACTGTTTTAACTTGATTATTGACTAGATCTTATGAGTATTGAACGTTTTTATTATGTTTTTTAATGTTGTTTTATATGTTTGGTGAGGTGATGTTAATAATGGTAAAAATGGAGAAAACAATTGGCTTGAAATCAAAAGAAGAGAAAAGGAGAAGAAAATGGACAAAAGAGTCAATTTACCATATCCAAATGAGAAAAAAGAAGAATTCTTATCCAAGAGATGGCGCCTTGGCACCACCATTGAAAGAAAGGAGACAGCGCCACACACAAGGCGCTGAGCGTCACCATAGAATCTGACTTGGCGTCACCTGGTGCAACTAGGGCACGTTTTTTGGTCCATTTTGAAGTCCATAAAAACTTTAAATTCGGTAAAAACGTGCGACAAGTATAAACATAAGAATTGAGATACTTTTGAGGGGACCTACACATTGAGATACACAAAAACAACTTGAGATTTAGGAGAGAAAAACATCGAGAAATTACGAGTTTGAAGCATTGATTGGAAAAAGAAGTTCTTGGTGTAAGATTCATCCATTTTTCTACATCTTTATTCAAAAACCGGTGATATACTTCATTATCATCTATTGTTTTTCTTCATCAATAATAAGTAACTAAATCATATATTAGGACGAACAATGTAATCTAATTGAGATCATTTATTTCTTTTATTCAAGATTGTAACTCTTTTATCATATATGTGTTGATTTTACTCATGTATTTAATATTTTGAATTACTTGATCAATAATTTAATGATCTTTTGAATTTTTTACGAATCGAGATGCGAGTTTTAGATTTAGACCACATATTAAAATTCGGTAATTTAGAAGGTGTTTGGTGAGAATTAAAATTAGATTTTTAGTAGATTGTGATAGAAATTTTTGAAATGTGTGGATGAAAAGTTGTGGGACTTATGAAAGATGTGGTTAATATTAAATGTTTGACTTTGACTTGAATTAAAATCAGATTTTAATTTGGACCAAACAGGGGCTTAATATAACGTGTAGAGATAGATATCTATGCTAATTATTGCGGTCATTATATATATTCTTAAAACAAATAGTACGTTTAATTAAAATTGATTCATATATAGACATGAGATTGAATTAGTTAAATAAGCTCAATGAGAACTCGGGAAAGATAAAATGAATCCAATAAAAGAATTCGATCGAGCGCTACATTAGATTTATGAATCTTGAATTAAGATTTAAAGATGATTAATAGATGAAATTGTCATGACCTAATATTAATTCCATATTTGAAACACTAATTCAATCTTTGTGAGAAATTTTGATACTTTCAATCAGTTAAAAGTAGTTAGATAAAAAATTACCAAATCACAATTCTTTGTTTGTTTTTTTTCCCTTCAAATATGAGTTAGAAATATTATTAAATTAAGCATTAAATTGTAGTTCTCATTGGAATAATTCACTATATTATTTGTTACGATATCGTACACTTGCGATATAAAAAACGCAACAATTTCACAACTTGTATCAACTCTCCATTTACATATTACATCACCTATTGCATCACAACTTGTATCAACTTTCCATTTACATATTCTTATATAAAGAACCCTATTTCACAATGAATGTTTAGTCAACCTTTTCATGTCTATTAGGGTAGATTGAGTTATCTCGTAAGGAGATTGGGTGAGCGTTTGAAGAATTTCTTAGTCCATGTTTGGTTTAGATAAAAATCAAAATTTTATTAGATTTTGATAAATTTGGTGGAATGTATATTCGGTTTTTTTTTTTTAGTTTTTTGTTCCTATAAATACAAATTATGTGCAATTGCAAGCAATGCTAGTTAATTTGACAAAACTAGCTTAGCAAAGGAGGTTGTTTGTAACTTGGAGTCCCTTTCTAAGTCTTGCAAAAGGCGTTCAAACTAGCATATAAGGAGGTTGTTTGTAACTCGGAGTCCCTTTCTAAGTCTTGTAAAAGGCGTCCAACGATAGCAGGACAAACGTGCAAATCCAAGCATAGAATAATTTTTTTTTTCTTATTGGATATACAAAGAATAAAATTTTTCATATTAGATACGGGAACAATATATAGTCATATGTAATCCAGACGAAAAGAAAGCCTCGTATCTCAGACATCATGGAACAATATCAAGTAGTGGGAGAACTTGAATCAAGTTATTCCGTACGAAATATTAGGAATCTAAAGATGATTCAAGTTGCTCAAACTCCACACATCGTAAAAGCAAAACCTTTTTATCTAAGATGGAGAGAGATTTTCCGAAGAATACATATTTTCTCAATTCTACACAGAGGAATCTTAAAAGTAACACTTCTTTGGTGGAGACATTTCAAGAGAATACAAAGTAGCCATGTAAAAAAAAAGGTCCATCTTCCTCTCCCTCCACGGCTCCACCACACAATTTTCAAATAATTCTACTGCTTTTCTTGATTACTATAAGGGTCTGTTTGATTTGGCATCATTTCCATGGAACTTGGAAATTGATTTCCATCTTCTTCGTTTTGGCTTGTTTGATTGTTTTAATTTTCTTGACAATTCATTTTCTTGGTTTTGGCTCACATCACATGGTGATAATTCATTTATTTTGAGCACCAATTTGGTGGGAATTGATTTTTTAGTTTACTTTTTTTTATTTTTTATTTTTTTGGCAATAGAAACAAATTTTATTCCCAATCGTAATAAATTATATCCCTTTAATGGATAATTTTCATGTAAAACAAAACCAAAAAATCCAAAATTTCAATATTTTCCACGTGGAGAATTATGCTAATCAAATATAATTAATTGACAATTTTCAGGAAAACAATTTTAGGCAATTCAATTCCTTGGAATTAATTTTCTTTCCACCCAAATTCCACTTTTGCAATCGAAGGAACCCTAACATTTTCAAAAGTTCCATCTTTCTCTCTTCCTATACCATTTTACTTGTAATGATTTGTACAAGTATGTTACAAGTTAAAGCGTATGGTGGAGCTTGTTTAGTGTACACATTTTTCTTCATTCCATTGTGGATGCGGTTAAAGTCAACCTATTAATTTTGCGATAAATAAACGGTATAACCTATATAAATTAATACTCAATAAATCAATAACATCCATTATAGAATAATTTTATTAGCAACAATATCGTTTAATCTTAAGACGCGTGAATTTTATTATTGTCTCAAGCTCATGAACGCCTTCTTTATTTAAGGTTTCGTTTAAGTTTTGAGGTCATTTTTTCCATAGAACGAATTTTGCAATGTCGAAAATACCTTGGTATTGTCTTCATTCTGAAAATTTATCGTCGAAGTTGGAATTGCAAGATTGATTACATTCAAATCATTTATTTTTTCTGGATTGATTTGTAAAATCGTCTACGATAATGCATCTTGAGAGCTCTTATTATCCCCTTATCACATGGTCGGATTTTCGATGTCATGTTGGCTTGCAAAAAAATAGCTCAACATTTTGTAATCTTTCGATATTTTCGGATGGGTTGAATAATTATCTATTACCAAGAGAAATTTTCTTCCATGCATTTTTTTTGTCAAGTCACCATGATTTTACATACTTTTCGATGATCCACATAGGAATTTTTTCTGAACCATCCTCATGACAAAAAAACAATAATTCTAAGCCTTCTTCGTCTTGCTTTTTTCCCTTCAAGTTGCTTTGTTGCAAGAGAGTAATCAGGTTGTAACCTATAAAATAATCACATTTCATCCATATTGAAAACATCTTTCATCACGAACTAATCTATTTTTTTCCCTTATATATAGACTCCAGTTTCATCTATGTATCTCGTGTATCGATTGATTCACTTATCCCAAAACAGCGAAATCACCTAATACCACGTTTTCACTTGAATTTCTCAAGCCGACCTTGAGAAAAGTTAAATTATGAAGTTTCTTCAAGATTTACCTTTTTCATAGTCTCTCTTTCCTCTTCTCTCCTATTATATTCCCATGATCTTAATATCGAAAAAACCATTCATAATGTCTGGAAATTTCGATGGTTTATGCCGCTAAGCACGATCACCTTTTTCTAAGTCATAAATACCTTCGTTCTACCTGCATTTTTCTATTGGTTGGTGGATCGGTCTAGTTCTTGCTTTAGTGATGGAAAGTCGTTGCAACTATGAAATATAAGAAAACGTTAATTTTTTATATCAAAATTATTTTTAATCTATTTCATAGAATAAGTTTAATTAAATTAATGAAATTACAATGAATATTATTTAAAGTACATAAGTACACTGAATTTATTTAGTTTTGGTTAATTTAATGCATATTTAGTTGATTAATTCATATTCAACTAATTAGATAGGAAAAATACAATGAATTTTTAGTTGATTAAACATATTTTCGTTGGATTGTAAATACATTCTTTAAATTAATAAATATTATTTATCGATTAATTAATAGAATTTATATGGTCCCAATGCATTTAATTTAAAGAGGTTAATTAATATATTTCATATCAATATCCCGTTGTTCATCCATTATATGATTGTTTAATTAATTATCATAAGGAAAACACCAAGAATAAAGGAGCAAAATTCGGTTCCTTGCTAGCTGATTTAGACTAGAATCCCAATATGCATTTAGATTGATTTTTATTGTTCAAAATTCAAATGCCTTACAACTTTTTGTATAGAGAATGATAACAACTGCGTCGAGACATCGTTTACTGAATATTCTTCAGTCCAAAGATGGGGAGATTCATGCACAATATACACCAACTGGGATTGGCAAGGACAAATCACCTCGAAGAACATAGATCATCAAGAATATCTCAATGTTCACGAGCCCTTTTTTTCCCATGCGCCCTTTCAATTCCCTAAAGAAATGGAAAAAGCTTGAATATTGAGGATTTCATAGCAGAACTTGTGTTATAACAAATAGAATCAAGAAAGACAAAAACATACACTATAATCCTCAACTGTTGATGCAGACGAGAACCCGAAATTTGAACTGTAAACACCGTTTCTTCCCCTAGAAAGTCCAGTAAAAGACACTTCACAGTTGGAAGAACTTGGAGGCAAAGGTGGAGGGATAGATGTTGAAGATGAAGATACAACTTGGCTATCAGCATCATCATCTTCTTCGTTATGTTCTTCCTTGTCCTCTTCCTCGTCCTCGTCCCCGTCCTCGTCCCTGTCCTCGTCCTCGTCCTCGTCCTCGTCCTCGTCCTCATCATCATCATCCTCGTCTACTTCTATACTCCCATTTTCAAGGTCGCACGACTCGCAGAGAGAAACCGAAGGCCCCAGCCTGGTACCCGAACCGTTCCACGGGGTTGGAGATTGACAGGTATGGCATAGAAGATTTCTTGAGTGCTTAGCTACAATAGAATTTGCTGTATGAACCCTTGCATCACAATTCCTGCACAGGCTTGCTCGATCGGATTCACAATACATTCTTGCAGTAGAATTGCATAACTCGCATTTCTTCATTTTCTTCTCTCTTCTACACACACACACACAAAACTTTCCTTCGAAATTTTTTGATTCCCGTAGGTTACTCTATTGGTTGGAGTACTATGTTAGTCCTAGGTTGTATTGTATATATACTGGTGCCCTGGTATTCGGGCTGAAACAAAGGAAAGAAGATGAAAACTGAACCATGTTTTTACTTTTTAACTCAACTCATCAAGTTACCATTCTTAGCAAGAATAAAGGTTAGATTTTTCTTTTTAGGGCATCCCACTTTCTAAATATGCAAAGTGCCTCTTGTCATGTATGGATTTCGTTTCAAATGAATTGGTTATTCGACTTATATTTGCATTGCAATAAGACATAAATTTTTGAGTAATGCTACTTATTTGGCAAGCTCCATTATCTGCAAGCTCCATTATCTTCAAACTCATTTTTGACTACACAATCTTTCAATAAAATAATTTTTAATATAAACCCAAATTTTTTTTCTTTTAAAAATCACTATTACAAAATCTATTTTCCCCAAAAAATGGTGCTCAAACACAGCTTTAGATTATTGATAGTTATGAGATTTAGAGCTTGTTTATCTTTTCCCCAAAAAATGGTGCTCAAACAGAGCTTTAGATTATTGATAGTTATGAGATTTAGAGGTTGTTTATCTCCCATTATTAAGAGAAAATTAGTGTAATGAATAGTATTTTTTGGAGAATGTGTGGTTGAAAATTAAAGTAACTTTATTGGTTGGTGTGTAGAATATTTTATTGGATGAATGTGTGGTGGAGAATCTTACTGTAGCAAACAATTTTTTTGATTAATGATAGACAAGAGCTTAAATTCGAGACATTTATTTCCTCTGACATCTCCTATCTTCAATAATTTTAAAAAGCTCTTAAGTAGCATAAATAGGTAGTAAATCTTTTTTTTTTCCACAAATTAATGTGAATAGGTAATAATTAGGTGATCCAGAAAAAAAAAACAATGACCATTGCAAGTGTGATTTTGTGGGCATTTGAAGTGACTGGGTTTTCAATTCTATCATAGAAAAATTATGTATAAATATCAGGTATTTTTTTTATTAAAATCCAGTTAATTATGCCAAATCTTAACTAATTTTATCTTTTGAAATTTAATTTTACAAATATGAGTAATGTTGTTCATAGCTATGAATTACGGTAGTCATTCTATGTAGCAGTTTGTTATTTGAAACATTAATTTCCTATAATTTTATTGCCTCAAAGAACAAGCAGCCAAATAAAATGACTACTGCAATATTGCAATCGTTGTCTATAAATGAAATTACTCTACAAGAATTGACAGAACACGTGGTCATATTTATGGTGCACTTTTGGAGAAAACTAAAATCACATATAAGTTATATAAGTCGCATATGAATTACAGATTTCACAATTTAAGTTAATGTCGACACGAAAATAATTTTGAATCAAAATTAGTTTACTATGACTACAAGACGTAAGCCACACGTGTGATTTACAAAGGTCACACTTTCCCAACTTGTCATCAAGCCACAATCATCACGTCACGTATACACAAGCTCACACTCATACAGCAATACAAATAAAGTCACATTGCAGTCAATATAGTCCATGTTTGGCCTGTGACCTCATCTGCTGGGAAAGAAGAAGTCACAAATAAGTATGAGCATATGTAGGGAAAGAAGTGGATTTGAGACTGTTAGATGGAGGGGCACGTGACCTCATTTGCTGGTCATCTGACCCTCGAGTGGCATCTCATTAGGCTAAAGAGTGGCAACAAGGCATGGTAACCTAATCAAGCGTTTCCTCCTATGTATCAATCAATCACTTCTTAGGTGGGTGTGAATCTATTTCCCTCTGACAATTAGATTCACGACTTGACTATTTGGCGTTCACTGCACAAACGTGGAGTGCGGTCCTTATTGATTTGCTTAGCTGACTGTCATGTTGGCAATGGTCTAGAGCCTCTTTATAAGGAACGTAACAGTAGTATTTATCGATTATTTATTCTATATATTGTTACATTTATTAAAATATCAAACAAACTAAAAGAATTCGTAACTAAATCACCTTCCTCTTTCATTGGGAGCTTTTCAACATGTTCAAAGATAATGAAATTTTTTTGCAATAACTTCGTCACCAAATATTTTGTGTATATTCACATTGCTTAGTACCATTTTTTAGGTTACCAAGCACTTTTATAAGTAGATATACTCGTCTTGATTTGGTGAGGAATAGAAGAGTAAATGACAATTATTTCAAAGGGTAAAGCCATTTGTACATGGGCGTTTACACGCTCGGGTACACGGCCCCACCACCCCCCTCACAACGAGGGGGACCCGAGGTGAATTTAAAAATGGTGCCCCCCGATTGTGAGGGGGGGGGGGCGTGGGGCAGGTACACAGGATAGTACGGTCCTATTTCAAATTAGTAGTAGTAGGCGTACGAAATGAGCTTTCGGAATTAGGCAGGGACAAGTTCAAAATCATATGAGGTTTTTTAGACCTTGTTTGGTTTAGCTAAAAAGGTCAATAAAAAATTAAGTAAAAAAATTAACAATTAATTTTAACTACATATATTTCATCAGATCTATAATTTCTTATCAATTTTCAATCATATATTTCATCAAATTTTATCAAAATTTACTAAAATATTAATTTTTAGCAAAATCATACAGGGACTCAATAGGAAAGCCGCCTTAATTTTCCATGCTTCACTTATTCATTTATGATTTTCAAGTTTCAATCATATGGACTTTGGAAAGGCCAAATTGGAGAGATGAAATGGAAAATAGATTTCCTTTAATAATGTTTTTAGAGAGAACTTTCTTTGTTTCTCTAATTATGCCCCCGTGGATGGGGGTAATTAGTTTCTCTTCCAATGTATGGGTCTCGTTTAGGTCCCATCATAACGTGAGAGAATGTCAAGAAAAATGTCAATTTTTTCTACAAAATGGTTTAATTAAATACACCGTGCTTGTACAGCCCCTCACATGTGAGGGGGTCCCATCCTTTTAGACAGCAAGCAGGTCAAATTCTTACAACTAAACCAGCTGGTCAACAGAAGAATAATTATTATTTGTCGAGAAATTAAAAAATTCCATTCAGACAGGCAGGCAAAGAAATAGAAATTATCCAAAACCTAGCCATCGTTTGAATTAATTGGCTATGCAGAAACTTCCTGCTTATTAAACAAAAGAAGAAATTATTATGCAAAGGCAGCCATTTCAACAAGAAACTCTCTCAGAACCATGATCAGCAGTAGAAATTTCTTGGTAATTATTTTTTGTCTTTTTAGTTATGGGTTTTGTTTAGAAACAGACACCATTAACGCCGGCGTAGTGCTTAAAGATTCTGATACTATAGTTTCCTCCGGCAAGATTTTCACGTTGGGATTTTTCAGCCCCAATGGCACTACTCGGCGTTACTTGGGCATATGGTATACAGTTTCTAAAGATACAGTGGCTTGGGTTGCCAATCGAGATAGGCCTCTCAACGATTCATCCGGGACCTTCTCCATATCTGCAGATGGAAATCTTGTAATCGCGAATGGAAATCAAGAGATTATTTGGTCATCAAATGTTACATCAAATTCTACATCTTCCGGTATGAATACTACTGCCCAATTATTGGGTACCGGAAATCTTGTCCTCCGAGATGTCGCTGGCAGTGGCACACTATGGGAGAGCCACCGGTATCCCACTAACACATTTTTACCAGAAATGAGAATATTTCACAACACAAGAACAGGCCAAAGGGTATCATTAAATTCGTGGAGAAGTCCTCAGGATCCTGATTATGGAAATTTTTCTTCGGGTCTCTACGCAGTTGGGATCCCACAAATTTACATATGGGATAATGGTCGTCCAATCTGGCGCAGTGGTCCATGGAATGGCCGAGTTCTTATCGGAGTAACCCGCATGTACTCTGTCTATGTCGATGGATTTAGCGTGGCAACTGAGGATGATGGTACAGTAGTTTTCACACGAGCTTTTCGACAAAAGGCCTTAATGACGAATTATTTGAACACTGAAGGAGTTCTTGTTGAAGCAGCGTGGGATGATCAGAAGAGAGAATGGAATCCTACATGGCAAGCACCGATAGATGATTGTGATTTCTATAACAAATGCGGTCCATTTGGAATCTGCTACTCAAACAATAGGCCGAAATGCAGTTGCTTAAAAGGGTATGAACCGAAGAACAAAGAGGAATGGGATAGTGGGAATTGGAGTGGTGGATGTGTGAAAAGGACACCCCTGCAGTGTGATCGAGATAATAATGCAACTGATAAACACAAAGTTGATAAGTTTTTGAAGATAACTCTGGTGAAAGTGCCAGATTTTATTCAGTGGTCAACTGGTATTGAAACTGAATGCGAAGGCCTGTGCTTGAGAAATTGTTCTTGCATAGCCTACGCATATGAACTGGGTATTGGATGCATGTTCTGGAGTGGAAGCTTAATTGACATTCAGAAATTCTCCAGGGATGCAGGTTCAGATTTCTTTGTTCGGGTGGCTTATTCAGAACTTGGTACTTTTGCTATCCTTTTATTTGTTTTCAAATGAGAAGAATAATTATTTTCCTTTCCGTAGTACTCTGAATCTCTACAGTACTAAGCTAATGTTCATGAAGTTTTGAACAATGTCTAAATGTATTTTATGCTAGTCATTAATTTGGATGCTTATTTTGTTTCAGATGAAAAGAAAGACAAAAAAGTAATAATCATAGCGTGTGTAGCCGCCAGTTTGGTTGCCATTTGCATTTGCCTACTTCTATCTTGGTGGTGGATGTCTAAGCGAAGAGGTACGCATAAGGCATTTGGAATGGTATTTAGGCACAAAAATACAGATATCTCTAATAGATGATATATTTTCCTTGCAAATTAGGTCACCGTGTAACATTACAGTATGAAGGAGGTGAAGTTGGCCAACTGAATTCAAGTGAAATCAGTCTGCGCAATGCCATGGATAAAGTTAATGTTGAAGAGTTACCACTATACAGTTTTGAGATGATTGAAAATGCAACAAACAATTTTGACATGGCCAATAAGCTTGGACTGGGTGGGTTTGGTCCTGTTTTTAAGGTAATGTATCGTGCTTATGCATAATATCCGGTTTTAGTTTTCATGGAATCTACAAGCGCTGAAATTTATTTGTGTGTGTAGGGAAAATTGGAAAATGGGAAAGAGATTGCAGTGAAAAGGCTTTCAACAGAATCTGGACAGGGGCTGGAAGAATTTATGAATGAAGTGGTTGTCATTTCTAAACTCCAACATCGCAACCTTGTTAGACTACTAGGATGCTGTGTAGAAAAAGGCGAAAAGATGCTAGTCTATGAGTACATGCAAAATAGAAGCCTAGATGTCTTTCTATTTGGTCAGTTCAACTCGGTTCTACATTACCTTTTCAATTTGTTCCCATTTCATCTCAATATACTCACGATCACCTGGTTTATGCAGATAGTTCACATAACATTCTTGATTGGAGGAAACGTTTCAGTATTATTGAAGGTATTGGCCGAGGACTCCTCTATCTGCATAGGGATTCTCGATTGAGAATAATCCACAGAGATATGAAGCCAAGTAACATATTGCTTGATGAGTATTGGAATCCAAAGATTTCAGATTTTGGAATGGCCAGAATATTCGGAGGAAACCAAGATCAAGCCGACACTGGAAGAGTTGTAGGAACATAGTAAGTATCTATTTATATCGTCCATTTTAAATTGTGAATTGTCAATACTAGTGCGGTTCAGTGACACAATCCTGTTGCAGCGGTTACATGGCTCCTGAATATGCAATGGGTGGCAGATTTTCAGAAAAATCCGATGTTTTCAGTTTTGGTGTTTTAGTATTGGAGATCATAAGCGGGAGAAGGAACACGGGCTTCTATAATGACGAGTGGTCTTTGGGCTTATTAGGATATGTAAGTGCACTTGAATTCATTTAAAATTCTTCACTTATAAGATTGTCTGTTGCAATATCTTCCTTTCTGATTCTAATAGAATTCTTCTTAATCTTTTCCAGTCATGGAAATTATGGAATGAAGAAAATGTTCTGGATTTGATTGATCAGAGAATATCAAGTCCAAGCTCATTGGCAGAGATTGTGAGATGCATACACATTGGATTGTTGTGTGTTCAAGAAATCCCTGTAAATAGACCCTCCATATCAACTGTTCTGTCAATGCTTAGCAGTGAAATCTTTGACCTGCCGGAGCCGGAGCATCCGGGATTTACGGACAAGTGGAATGGTCCTCACTCCAAAACATCGGAATCTGCTAACAAGGTCACTCTTACTGTGCTAGAGGGGCGATGATGATAGAGAATTTGTATACTGTTCCATCTTTTTTGTAAATATCAAGGTAGTTTTGTTCCTAACAATCACGATGTAAATCACAGTTTTACCAAGATTTTGTCTAGTTTTTGCTCGTTATTTCTACAAGGATAGGGCAACAAATTTCTTAGAATCATTAGCAAAAAAGGTGGAATAACAACAAATTCTTTAAGGTCATATTGATTTTTTGTAAAGATCGTGGATCATGAATATAGTGGAGAAGACGGGTTGTAAAGAACCTACAAAATATGTCTCGTATGTTCCTTAATCTCTTAGTTATAGGAAGTTTGTAGTTGGTTATTAGTACGGGGAAAGCATTATCCGTGTGGGTAAAGCTCAAACTACTAGCGATTTATACCTATAGGTCCTAAGCTTGTAGAGCTAGGAGTTAGTTAGAATCAAGTGTACGTCGTAGGGGCCACCTTTAGCTAAGAAAGCCGGGCCATGATTGGAGGCTAGTTTGCTCTTTATCCCTACTCTCGAGCTCATTGTCGTGCTCGTTGACTATCTCTCGGAATCCTTCACAAAGGATTCCTGCACTGCCTCCGTTCTAGCTCGACTCATCACTCAACTACTTCCAATTGCTCAAAAGACAAAAAGAAGCCCCATTCTGATACCCAAGAGGTGAATGAGCAGGGAGAGGCAGCCTTTGCCCACCGAGGGGGATGAGGAAATGTTAAGAGATCCTATAATAAAGGCCCCCAAATGGCTATAAAGAGGTCTCTAAAAGATATTTAGCTACGCTAAGGATCTACATTAAAGTGCCCTAGGATGTATACGAGAAGGTATTTACTCTAACTTCATTAGGCTCGGTAGCTCATAAAAGGAAGGAGCTAACTCATAACTCTAGCTCAAGTTAGGACCATTTCCCCCCTAGCCCTTTTGTGTGTGTGTGTGTGGTGGGGGGGGGGGGNGGGGGGGGGGGGGGGGGGGGGGGGGGGGGGGGGAGACTTCAAGGTAGGAAAGGTAGCGACCCTTACGCTATTCCGTCAACGAATTGAGGAATAATTGGCCTGAAAGAGCTACTATCTATTCTTTCGTAGAAATCCTAAAGTTTCATGGTCTTTTTCCTTTGCAGACAAGACTTTTGAACAAGTTGTTATGCTGATCTTCAATGAAATTCCAGTGAAAAGCCTATGAATTTCAGATTAATTTAAATTTCAAATGTAGTTGTGCATTTCCTACCTACATGAATTCATTTCTTCCTATTAACTAGAAATTTTGAGGTTTATAATCTCGTATAAATTTCCACTCGCTATTATTATTGTTCTTTGTTGATTACTCATGTCCCCAGTCGAAGTATTATCTTTTTGGTTGTTCGAATGTTGCAAAACCCTCTTTTTAATCTTCTAGTACTTCCCCTCGCGCTCCTGCCATCGACATACGCACTTATCTGTTGTCTGACTTTTTTTTCTTAAATAGTCCGTTTAATTGGAAGAATGAAATTTGGGTGGAAAGAAATTGAATTGTCTATAACTTGTTTTAATGAAAATTGTCAATTAATTGTGTGTGATTGGTATAATTTTTCACCTGAAAAATATTGAAATTTTGAATTTTTTGGTGTTTGTTTGACTTTGGTTTTCATGAAAATTGTCCATTAAAGTGATAAAATTTGTTATAATTGGAGATATAATTTCTTTCTATTCCAAAAAATTTTTTAAAAAAGTTGTCTAGAAAAACTTTTCCAATGAGCATGTGGGTGAAACATGGAAAACCAATTCCATAAAAAATTTGAAGTGTAATCAAATATGCAAAAATGTGGAAAATAAAATTTAATTTCCATCTTCTATGGAATTGAAGTGCAATCAAACATGGCTTATATGTTTGTGATGTGTTTTAAAATGCCCCATAATGATACTTTGTCATGACTCAACAACTCAAAATATCATGCATGGAAATTGTGGAATGAAGACGATATTGTGGCTATGATATATGCAAGAATATTAAGTCCAACGTAAGATGGGCCAAATATGATCTATTCCTTCGTAGAAATCTTGAAGTTTCATGGTCTTTTTCGTTTGCAGACAAGACTTTGGAAAAAGTTGTTGTGCTGATCTTCAATAAAATTCCAAGTGAAAAGCTTATGAATTTCAGATTAATTTAAATCTCAAATGTATTTGTGCATTTCCTACCTACATGATTTCATTTCTTCATGTTAACTAGAAATTTTGAGGTTTATAATCTCATATAATTACCACTCGCTCTTTTTACTGTTCTTTGTTGATTACTCCTGTCCACAGTTGAATTATTATCTTTTTGGTTGTTCGAATGTTGCAAAACACTCTTTTTAATCATCCAGTACTTCCCCTCGCACTCCTGCCATCGACATACGCACTTATGTGTTGCCTGATTTTTTTTTTCATTATAGGTCCGTTTGAATGCAAGAATGAAATTTGGGTGAAAAGGAAATGAATTCTAGGGAATTGAATTGCCTAGAACTTGTCTTAATGAAAATTTTCAATTAATTCTGTTTGATTGGTATAATTTTTCACTTAAAAAATATTGAAATTTTGGATTTTTTGGTGTTTGTTTGACTTTGTTTTCCATGAAAATTATCCATTAAAGTGACAGAATTTGTTACAATTTGAGATATAATTTGTTTCTATTACAAAAAAAATTTTAAAAAAAGTTGTCTAGAAAGGTTTTCCCGCGAGCATGTGGGTGAAACATGGAAAATCAATTCCATAAAAAATTTAAGCAATCAAACATACAAAAATGTGGAAAATAAAATTTAATTTCCATCTTCCATGGAATTGAAGTACAATCAAACACGGCCTACATGTTTGTGATAGGGCTGTCCTTGGGTCGGTTCGGTGGTTCGGTTCGGTTCTGAAGATACCGAATCGACCCAAAACTTTCGGGTATTTGATAAATGGACCCGTCAGGTCCAAATATAATTATGGAACCGTTCGGGTTCGGTTCCGTTCGGTTCGGTTCGGGTCGGTTCGGTTCCGTTCGGTTCCGTACCATAATTAAATTTTTTAATATTTTCAGCAACACTAAATAAATACAATNCTAATGAGTTTTAAAAATGATTTGGGCTTTAAAATTAAAATTATGAAATAATCTAATTTATTTAATTAATTTGCTAATTTGTATAAAAAATAAAATAATTTAATTAATTCAATATAAAAAATAAAAATTTATTTAGTTTCGGTTCTTATTCGATTTTTCGGTTCTTGGTCTAGACCCGAGACCCGACCCAAACCCGTCGATTCTCGATTCGGGTACCCGTTCGGGTATTTAATTTATGAAGAACCGTTCGGTTCGAGTTCGGTTCGAGTTCGGTTCGGTCCGGTTCGGTTCTGGACTTTTGGACACCCCTAGTTTGTGATGTGTTTTAAAATGCTCGTGTTCGCTAAAATTATATATCGCAAGTGCACGGGTCGCGTTTAATCAATAAAGTTGACTTTTTGAGTCCAAATTATCTATCCCTCGAGGAATCCTTACTTTTAATTACACAATTTTAGTCAATTAATTTTAACAACAAGAACAAATACACAATAAAATTTGATTTAGGAAATTATGAGAAATTAACTAAAAATCTACAAAATAAGAAAATGTAAACACTTGGAAAGTTTGGAGGGAAATGTGGTTAGAATTCATGGTTTCGATTAACCGTCACCTAATTAATTTCTCCACAAGCCAATTAATAAATTACTCATTTACGATATTAGATTTGATTTTTCAAGTTTAGTTAATAACCTCTCTCGAGCAAAATTAACCATAATTAATTGGTTAACATAATATATCTCTATGTTGATTTAAACAAAACAACCGCATTAAATATTTGTGAAAATAATTCAATGGATCACATTCACATAGGGTTAGTGGTATATCTCTATCCACTACACAAACCTAAAGTTCTACTATTTGATCAAAAATACACAATCTTCTCTTGAACGACGTACAAATCACTAAATATAATCATTTATTAGCCATTTAAATGAAAATGTAATAATAACAATAGTAGAAACATATGAAAATAAGTGAATTAACATAAAAAAAATATTAAAATTAATTAAGGTTATGTTAAATTTTACCATAAATTCCAGCGCAATAAATTAGCCCAAGTTATAAATATGATAGAAAAGAGAATATTTGTACCAATGCATTATAAATGATAGAAAATATTAAAGAAAATACAAGATTAAAGTAAAACCCGTTTTGGATGGATTTGCTTGAATCTTGATTCCCCCACTTCTTTTCCACATTTTATTTGATTTATTCTCCATATTGTGCTCTTGATTTTGCTCTCAAATTATCAAGAAAAAGAATCTGAGAGAAGAAAGAAAGAAAACTGCCGCTGCATCCAGGAAGCTTATTTAGGTTTTAAATTTCATTTCCAAAAATTGTAGCTTTGGTCCTCGAGTTTTAAAAAACAATTAAAACGGTCCCCAAGTGAAACCAAGATCATTTCCTTTTTCATTTTGCTATCAAGTCCTCCGGTTAATTGCACAATCGGTCCCTAAACTTTGATCTTGTAAATTTTGGTCCTCAAATTTTGATTTTCATAAGAATCGTGCCCTCCAAAAATTGCAACCCAAGATCCTTCAACTTTTTGACTTGTGCATTTTTGTCACCAACTTCATAATTTTGCACAATTTTAGTCCATTTTCCTCATTTTGCTTTGTTCTCTTTCTTTGGGTATTTTTTACCTACAAAAGCAAATATTACATAATTGTGAATAGAATTTCATCCATTTTATCAATGAAAAACTTATAGGTACCCTCAAACTTAAACTCTTGTTCATCCCGAGCAAGATTATCTATTAACACAATCAAGTAATATGTGATAATGACCAATACATTAGATGGCTTGCCGAAAATATCCATGAGTGTAAAATTGTATAATCAATTCACAAATATACTCCAAATAATACTAACAAAAATCATTTTAACTTATCTAATGGTCGATCGGTGTGTGGGTACATAGCCACTTTTAATCATCATCTAAATTAGGAAAAGTTGTCAAGACGGAAA